AATGGAGGAGCAGGGGCGGAGAAGGAGAAAGGGTTCGCCGCGCTGGGGACTTGTGAGCAGAGCGGCGGAGGAAGCGAATTTTGAGTTTGAAAAGTATGAGAGGTTGAACCTATGAAGTGGGCCTGGCTGGCTGGGGTATTGGTGACTTGCCTGGAAAGGTCGTTAGCCACTTCCAAGGTGACATGTTTGTACTGCCAGAGGAGCCTGTGAAGAATGAAGTATGTGGCTTTATTTCACTGTTGAGGTCATACAACGCAGGATAAAGTCACATTGGTATACTGGACCAAGAAGATCAGGGGCACTGACACTCTGGAGCTGGCATTAAGCTAAAGCTTAATGCTGAGTGTTAAGCTGCCCATCACCAGAAATCCTCAAGTTTTGGAAACTGAGGAGTATCCGAGGGACCTGCTGCACCGGGCCAAGTTAGACCTGATACTGATTAGGACACCTTCCACAGATCCGAGTCATTTCATTAATAGCCAACAGTAAAACTTCAAAATGGCATTCCAATAATGGTCTAACTTTTCACGTCATAAGAGACATTTTACCTTTGATTATCTCCCCAGAGCCAGAATTTTTTTTTTTTTTTCAGAGCCAGAATTTAATCAGTAGCGTTCTTTGCATCATGAATGTGCAATCGTTTTTACACATCTTAAATACAGATAATTTAGTTTTCAAACTCATTTAGCCCTCTGCAAAATTCACTGCCCCAGAGAGGCCTTTCAACTATCTGAACTGTTAAAAGACACCCTCCCCCCCCAAAAAAAATATTACTATAACTGAGGGTGGTAATTTCAGTTTAACCATTAAATTGGGTTTCCAGATCTCTGATTTCATGTCCCAATATGAAATATTGACTGACAGCAATATTATATACTGTGGCTTTCCATTATAGTTTTACAGGTCACCGGGTGTGGTGGTGAGGCCTGTAATTCCAGGAGGATGGCTATGAGTTCAAGGTCAGCCTGAGCTTCAAAGTAAGTTCAGGCCAGCCTGAACTGCCTAGTAAAACCCTGTCTCAAAAAGCCAAAAAACAAATTTTTTTGTGTGTGTCTTTTTCCTTTTTATTGGTACCAGGGATCGAACTCACGACTGCCTGCTTTACAAGGCAGGCACTTATGCCACTGAGCTAAATCCCCAGCCCCAAAAAACAAAATTTTTTTAAAAATTTTTTCAGGTCAAATTCAGGAGCTGGAGGCGACTCACTTCCTTTTTTTGAATTGAACTCAGGACCTTGCACTTTCCAGGCAGGCACTGTGCCACTGAGCTGTATCCTAAGCCCTCAACTTCCTCCTGCAGCCGCAAGTCTCAAAACAACAACAGTCTCCGAAGGGCAAAATGTTAACATTTAGTCTGGGTGAAAAATAGATTTCTTTTATTTTGTTTTTCTATAGAATGTAAATAATCACTAACCTGTAGATGTTTCAGTAAAGAACATCTTATATACATGGAGACCTTACATTATATATTCTACATTATATAGTCTGTAAGATCTTTTTTTTTTTTATCAGTATCGAGGATCGAACTCACGACTACCTGCTTGCTTATACTGCTGAGCTAAACCCCCAGCCCATAAAGTCTGTAGAAAAACGTTTAAAGCTAAGAGATTGCGTTTTTTGGAGGAAGTTCTGTGTGTGTGTGTGTGTGTGTGTGTGTGTGTGTGTGTGTGTGTGTGCTGAGGACTGAACCCAGGTCTTGCACATGGTAGGCAAGTTCTCTATGATGAGTTACATCCTCAGCCCTGGAGGAAACATTTTGACCATAGTGACTTGTGAATGGACATTTATGTGGTGGTGAGATGAATGAACTAATCTAATCATCATCATGATCTTCAGCATCATTTACCTTTCGATATGAAGTTCCTGGAAGCCCAGCTGCCATTCACTGCAAAACTCAAATGAAATCTCTTATTTGCCATATAGTGCTGATTAGAAGATATAAGTTTAGACTGTTGGGGCTGGGGATTTAGCTCAGCCGCATAAGCACCTGCCTTGCAAGCGCATGGTCCTGAGTTTGATCCCTGATACCGGTAAAAAAAAAAAAAAGTTTAGACTGTCACATCACTAATCAGTCAAACTGTGATCTGTGGGTGTATTTTAGCATGGAAGTGAATCAGATAAGTGTTGAGATGAGGCAAATATTCACTGAGTCTTAAAAATTGTTAATTATAGAAAAATGATTAATTATCTGTTATCAGTCAGAAAGAATTAACATTGGTCACAGTGCTGCATCTTGCAGGCTCATCTAACCAGATACTCATCTTTTGGAGGAAGCCACGATTTGTTTCGAAGGTCAGAAATTTGCTTTCCCTTAGGGAAAAATAGAACACTATTTACAGGAGAAATTATATAAAAGTAGAACATTGTACTCAGAAAAGCCAGGAAGTGTGACTTGAGTAAGATGTTTCCTAGTGAAAAAAAACTAAAACTTAAGACTAAAACTTTGTATTTCTACTTGCTAACTGAAATCTCTGTCCTTCACCCGAGTCATGAGTAAACATGCACATTCAGCAGATGGCTCACATGAATGTTACAAAGCAGCTTCTACCAATTATAATAACTATTAGCTCCTGGCTGAAATTGCTTTATCAAAAGCTCTTCAGGATGGAGTTTCACCTACAGCTGCCTCCTCCAAGTGTAGAGTTCCACAGTTCAAACATGCTAAGAGTAATGTGCTTATATTTCATCCCTTTCCCAAAATATACCCCAGTAAAAGGATACAACAACCAAACCTCAGAGAAAGAATGAAATGGACTTTCCCAACAGAAGTACCGAAATGTGTCATTTCACTGGCACTGTATGCTCAGACTAAAAGAGGCTCCAGTTTCAACTTGTTAAGAGACGAGCAAGAGCCTTGTCAGAACAGGTTTCCCAGAGATGTTGCGGAAAGGATATACAACTGACCTGTTGCTGAGTGGACAAAAAACCAAGAAGTTGAAAGCCAACAACTGATTCAGTGCATTAGCTGGGTTGTTTGCTTAATTCAGCATTAAGTCCAGGAACTCAAGCTAGATTCTAACGTAATTCAATTTAGCAACCTAGTGAGCCATCATTTTCATTTTAAAGTGAGGCAGAAAGCATACTACAATTATTTTACTCTGTATTCAATTTTTTGTAGCCCAGGTATGGTGGTGCATGCCTGTAGTCCCAGCACCCTGGAGGCTGAGGCAAAAGGATCATTACAAGTTCAAGACTAGCCTGCTCTAAAAAGTGAGCTCAAAGTCAGTTGAACTGCATAGCAAGACACTGTCTCCAAAAAAAATTTTTTTTTAATTTTTTGTTTAAAAAACTTTTGATGGCAATGCTAGAAAAAAAATAGGAAACAAGTTTTATTGACATGTATTTTGCTTATGAAAAGGAACCTAAATGGCATTAGGTTTAAAGAAATGGCTTTAAGTAAGTTTAAAATGTATCATCTGCTACCTATACTATTTTGTTTTGCAGTACTGGTGCTAAGTCACTAAATAGTTCAGGCTAGATAGGAAGTTGACATCTTTCTGCCTCAGCCTTGTACATATTTTTGTATGGTCTTTAAAACATCAGATTAAACTGAAAATTTAAGGCACAAACATCTGGTTCAACTGTGTAAGATAAAATAAAACCTACCGGGGCTGGGGATTTAGCTCAGCGGCATAAGCGCTGCTTTGCAAGCACGCGGTCGTGAGTTCAATCCCCAGTACTGATTTTTAAAAAAGGAAAAGAAAAAAACCTACCTATTGGAGCTGGGTATGGTGGTGTATGCCTGTGATTCCAGTAATCTGAAGGCTGAGTCAGGAGGATTGCGGTGAGTTCAGAAACAGCTTGGACTACAGTGAGTTCAAGGCCAGCCCAAAGTACATAGCAGGATCCTGTCTTAGAAAACCAAAACTAACACAAAACAACAAAATAAAACAAATCTGATCAGCATGATGATTTTAAGAGGAAAAACAAGTTAGTTACTGTACAACTTGACTCAACCTGATTCTTCTAACCCCCAACCTGCCTGCCTGGTAGTACCAGCAAAGGTGCTACTCTCTGCAGTGAAATAAACACAGAAAAGGAGATAAGACAGAACAAGGAAATTTGCAGTTCCTGGGGACATCCAGAGATACCTGAGAATTCACACCAGACACTTCAAGGACTTTGCCCACTGAATGCAAGACTGGCAGTGAACTTTGACCACAGATGTTTATTAGACTCCTTCTGCCTAAAGTCCCCTGCCTTCTCTCCATCCCTATAAAAAGGTCCCACTTCTATTTGTTGGAGGTAAGCGTCTTATTGCGCTCTCTGCCTGCCTGCACCCAGGCACAAGAAATTCCAGGTCACCTTGACATAAGCCTGATGGTCTCTGCTGGTCCCCTGCTTGCCCTATATGTTAAATGTGTTATAGTTACTATTTCCAGAAACTTTGTTAGCTGCCCAACAGCTTTTTGTCCCCTAATTTGACTAGCTGTCATTTTGCCGAAATGCGGTGAGCAGCAGTGGTTCTCTGAACGCGGCAGTTTAGCTGGGCCTAGGGCTCAGGGCTTTAACGGGTCCAGGTTTGGTTAGCTGGGCAAACGGGCTCCCTAGACTCAGGCTCAGAGGCGACGCTAGGGCGCTGTCATTTCTCCTGGAGTTTGTACCTCAGGCGGTGAGGCTTCGGTGCGATACCCAGTTCAAATGGGCTTTAGGAACTGTTAAGAGGTATTTTCAAACCGAGACATAACAGGTTATTGTGATTGAGTCGCTGTCAACCGATAGCCTGTGACCTTCGTGAAGAGGGAACGGACTGTGAATATAAACTAAGCCAGAAGTAAACTCAACGCACCGAGCCTGAAACACAGAACCCAATCCGAACGTTAGTTATTTTTCAGTCTGACCCTTCATTTTCAGGTTTTGGCTCCGGTGGGGACACTTTAGTAAACGTTCAGATGAGCGTCCCGGCTGAGGAGGTGGCGCTGCAACCTCAGAAGACAGGAGGAGAGGCTCAAGCCTCCCCAGCCCGGGTGCAGCCAGGAGCCTGGGCAGAGCCCGGGATGGCCGCTGGGGGGCGCTGTGTGTACGGCGGGGCGCTAAGGGGCGGGGCACCGGGGGCGGGGTCTCTGGCAAGATGGCGCCGTCCGGGCTGCTGCGCCCCTTCTCGCGGCTGCTGGCCCCCGCCAGGCTCCCGAGCGGCTGTGAGTACCCTGCTCGCGCGGCCGGCTCGCCCTGGCCTTCCGGGCGCAGAGCGTCCGGCGGGGGGAGGTAGGAGCGGGCTCAGCCTGGCCTGCCATGACCTTCGCGGGTCACGGCTAGGACCCCGCGTCCTCCATGCCAGCCCTGCTCCTGGCGCCCGGGCCCCGGGGCCTGCGCCTCTTCCCTGTGCTCTCCCGCAGTCTTGCCGCTCCGAACCGCCTTCCCTTGCTGCTTAAATTGGGGGTGGGAGAAGTGTCGAAATTTAATAGGGCGATTCACACCTTGAATGCTTCCCTCCCACCCCCGCACCAGGCAAAGGCTGCAAATTACAGATTCTCTCTCTGTCCCCTTTCAGCTTCAGCGCGGTCGAAGTTCTACGTGCGGGACCCACAGAATGACAAACCTGACTGGCTGAAAGTTGGGCTGACCTTGAGCACCGCAGCCTTCCTTTGGTACTATGTGAGTGTTCACTGCAGACAAGTGGGGGGCAGATGGCACTGAGATCAGTGTTGTAATCACCAAGAACATTTCTCCATGAAGGGACATCTCAAAAAGACGACTTAAAGGGGCTGGGGATTTAGCTCAGCGGCATAAGCGCCTGCCTTGCAAGCAGCCAGTCGTGAGTTCGATCCCTGGTACCGATAAAAACGAAAAAGACCAAAAAAAAAAAAAAAAAAAAAAAAAAGACGACTTAAAAATTAAGATTTCAGAGGTATGGAAGAAATATGATGAGGCTGATTTCCCGCCGCCGCCCCCCCCCCCGCACCCTTTAGAGACAGGGTCTTTCTGTGTAGTCCAGGCTGGCCTTGAGCTCACTTTGTAGCCCAGGCTGACCTGGAACTCGCGGCAATCCCCCTCTGCCTCAGCCTGCCAAGTACTGGGATTGCAGCCAGGTGCCACCATACCCAGCTTGATATTTCTTTTATTGATTAGCATGGTTTTGTGAAGATCAGTAGTCTTCCTAAATAGTAACTGCATTTTTGATGAATATTTAAAGCTCTTTAGGGTTTTATGAAGGCACCACTGGGATAAACCAGTTGCACAAATTCGATACAGTTGGACCTCTAAAACATTAGGTTTTAGTCAGTATTTAATACAAAGACATTATCATATTTAGCACATACCAGTGCCTGTTTGTTGTGTCAGATGTTTTACATGAAAACTCAATCATTTGAACATTATGATGTGGAATGTACTATTACTGTTGACTCTTTCCAACTGAATGTACTTGGAAATCTTAGTTTTTTTGCAGAACCCTGATCCTCCAACTTCAGAGATCACACTATACTGTAGACCACTGTGAAACATTGCTTCTCTGAAGAGAAAATTACTGGTTAAAATTGACTAAAAGTATCTGTTTCATATATAACATGCTTCTCTCCCCCCCCCCATCCCCTCCTGGTTCTTGATCTCTTATTTTGGATCTTTAAAGTGGTTTAGATCTTGGACATGGAAAGGGTAAGAAATGCTGAACATCATTTAGTTTAACAGTAATAACTGCTTTTCAATAACGACTTGTTAGAATGAAATTGTTCAGGGTTTTTCCTAAAAGAAGTTTGATTGCTATTGAGAACCCCTATGATTAGAATTGGAACTTTTGTTGACACAACTGTCACCATGTGTCAGTCATTGTCAGTTGTTAATTGTACCACACAATGCTTCTAGGAAAGTAGCTGCGCGTGCCATCCTGTTAATACACAAAGAGTTGAGGGGTGAGGGCCACTCACAGTATGAAACACCCAAGATTCGGAGTATAAACATGTAGCAGCCAACCGAAACCCCCTTAATAACCAACTTTTATGTTGCTTGGTTTAATCCCTCTGTAATAAGGCTTTCAGTAGTATGCATTACCCATCAAATGCAGTAATTTTTTTGACACAAATTAAATTAAAATTTTCGAGTTGTCTTCTAAAATTTACTGTCAGATTATAGTCCATTACATATATTCTGGACTTTTCAATCCCATAACTTTTTATATCTAACTAAATTGGTAATTATTTTTATCTATCCTGTTCCACTTGCATAAATGTATCCTCACTTAGTTTCCTTCTTTTTAAATTGCCAGAGAGGTTATCTTTCTAATTTTAACTATTAATTTGTAGCTCATCAAACAACATAACGAAGATGTTTTAGAATATAAGAGAAGAAATGGATTGGAATAAACTTTGGAAATACTTGTATAGTGAGTATACAATTTTATTGGATGACTGCTTGGTACTTTTTAGTATCAGATTCCTGTCCTTGATGCATTGATGAATTTTTGATACCTTGCCTCCAACGCTGTTAAACATAATCATTTTTACTCATTAATTTTAACCATGTTCAAATAAAGTTATACTCAAGAATAAAATGAAAGTTTTTTTGAAGTGGGGCGATTTGAGACAGGGTCTCACAATGTAGTTCAGGCTGGCCTTGAACTCACAGCGATCCTCCTGCTTCAGCCTCCCAAGTGCTGGGATTACAGACATTCACCATTATACCCAGCTTAAAATCATTATTTTCTTAAATCTAAGATTGCTTTACTCATTACCACCATAGTCCTTAAGACAAGTTATCATTATTCATGTATTTCTTAATATCTCTTTGGCATATTCCACACTGAAGTATAATTTCCATAACAAGAACACTGAATGCCTAGCTAATCTAGAAACTTATTATTTGTAGAATGGATGAATATATAAGGGCAATAGATTTTTTAATTTTTTCCTGTGTGCTATTTCATTATGATTATCACTACAGCTAACATCCAGTTGCACAATTCATAGACATAACCTGTGAGCAAGATGTCATACTGTGTGATCTATAATTCAGAAAACACAAGTTTATATTTATATATATATATGTGTGTGTATATATATACACACACACACACACACAGTTTATATCTACTACAAATATAAATAATGTGATGTATGTGTTGTATTGCTGAAACTCCATTTAAGGAAATCATTAATCTTTTAGTACCCTTTTGAAAAACCCCACTTGAAAACCTCAACTTTTATGGAGTAGGTTGATTAAAGTACATCAGTTATATCTTCTGGATAATAAGGGTAGTGTTCACAAAATGCACTTTCATTTTCCATAATAAACTCAATTCAGCACTTTAGTGTGATTATCCAGATCTTTTTTATTAGTACATGTTACCCGTTTCACAACTCCAGCCTGCTAATCAGTCAAGAGATAAAGATGAAATAGGAGGCATTTGCTGTTCTTTCATGATTTTGTTAAAACTTGAAGTATTGATACTCTTTGTGGACTTGTTTTCTATATTTTCCATAATGCACCAAAGGAAATTATTCAGGATAGTCTAATTTTAATGCTATTTCATTAAAAAAAACAGTAGTGTTTTTCTCTCTTCTTTATAGGTGTGCTCCTCATACAGTTATAACAGATGCTCTGGATTCTCCAAGCTGTCGAGTTGTGAATGTGAGAGAATTTATATGTAAATGTATTTCAGGCCAGCATTTGTGTTTTGCATCATTAAAAAATAAAAATACGTATGTATTCAAATAATGTGTATTTTGTCAACTTGTAGAAAATGTCAATTTTAAGGTACATTATTAGAAGTATTTCAGTATGGAACACACTGTCTGATAACAGAGGCATAGTAAGTTTGTTTTTTTGAGACAAAATCTCCCTGTGTGATTCAGGCTGGTCTTGAACTCATATCAGTTTTGTCTCACCTCCCAAGTACTAGGGTTACTGGCATGCATGACCATACCCAAATAAAAGTCACTTCTGAACATAAATTCCAAGTTACAGTTTTCAGAAAAAAATCAGTTGTCTACATGGATTTCTGTCCGTTAGAGCCAGAAAGAACTGTAGAGATCACGGACCAGTCTTAAACAAAGGCAGTTATCAAAGGAAAAAGAAACCCACCTACAGGACATGGTGATGCACACCTGTTTCCCCATTACTTGAGAGGCTAAGGCAGCAGGATCACGAGTTTGAGGCCAGCCTGGCCTACGTAGCAAGACCCTGTCTTGAAAAACAGGGATCTACCGGACATCATTGTGATAGGCAGAATAATGGCACAGCAGAGTTGTCCATGTCCTCCCTGAAACATGCACGTTTGTTATTCTGTGGCAGGGAGAGCTGAGGTAGCAGAAGGGCTGGGGCTGCAGCTCAGGTGGAGCACTTGCTGGCGCGCCTAGGGCCCCCACTTCATTCTCCAGCCCCACAAAGCAAAACGGCAGGAGGCTTAATGTTGCTCCTCAGCAATGTCGAGATGCGACCACGCTGGGGCCCCACTGTAATCGCTGGGGTCCCTAGGAGTGGAAGAGGAAAGTGGCACAAGCTTGTCGATGCAGTTACAAAAGCCAGCCTGCCCTTGCTAGTTCTTAGGGTGGACAAAAGCCAAGAACTAGGAAAAACCAAGGTAACTTGTGTCTTACTGAGCCTCCGAAGAGGAACGGTCCTACTGTCCTCTTAACCCAGCCCAGTGAGACACCTGCAGAACTGGAAAGTGATACATTTCTATTGTTTTGGACCATGTTTGTCACTGCAGCAATAGGAAACTGATCAGTTTAAAACTGACATCTCAGGAGCTGGGGATTTAGCTCAGCGGCATAAGCGCCTGTCTTGCAAGCAGGCAGTTGTGAGTCTGATCCCTGGTACCGATAAAAAGGAAAAATACCAAAAAAAAAAAAGACTGACATCTCTAAGGGGCTGGGGATTTAACTCAGCTTCATAAGCACCTGCCTTGCAAGCAGGTGGTCGTGAGTTCAATCCCCAGTACTGATTAAAAAAAAAAAAACTGACATCTCTTTTTTAATTGACTTACTAGGACATGCAGTATATAATGATTATAGTCACTGTAGGAGATTGGTACCTGTAGAGAGCACATTTCAGTTCCCTTCTCCCTCTATACCCCCAGAAAACTTACATCTCTCTGACAGTTGAAATTTGGAAAGTGATAGCCTTATGTAGAGATAAAATATTTAAAGAGTATCCACTGCATTTCAATCTGGGGATAGAGCTGCTCTTGGGAACTGTCCTCCTGACTGCCCTGATGGCTCTGTTCATGAAGACAGCTGTCCGGAAGAACTTCCTGGAGCAACAGAAATGATGTCCATGCTGCCCTTACATCAGCCACCGGTCTCATGACTAATGAGCATGGGGAATGTAGTTAACAGGACTGCATTTTAATAGTGTTTAATATAAGTTAAATCAGCAGGGATGCTGGCTACTGTATTGGACAGTACCTCTTAGAGTTGTTTTTTTTTTTTTTTTTTTTGTCTTTTTCATTTTTATCGGTACCAGGGATCGAACTCACGACCGCCTGCTTGCAAGGCAGGTGCTTATGCCGCTGAGCTAAATCCCCAGCCCCCACCTCTTAGAGTTGTACTACATGATGGCACTAATAAAAATCCCTCCTAAATTAAATAACTTTTTTTAAAAAAGAAGCAGCATGGTTGATTACACTATCTCAATGGCATCTTCTTCATTTTATCTACATGAGTAGGTGCTTCTCAGGATGCTTTTGCAGCACTAGGGATTTAATCTAATGCCCTGTGCACGCTAGGGAAGTGCTCTAGCTCTAAACAACATCCTAGCCAACTCCACCCTTTAAAAAAAAAGTCTCCCTAAATTACCTTGGCATCCTGTCTCAGCCTCCCAAGTAACTGGAATTACAGAAGTGTGCCACCAGTTGTTTTTTAAATGAACTTGTTTGGCAATTTGTCTTCCTAGATAATCTAAATTGTTTCACTTTCTGTAAGTACTATCAAATAATATAGATTATAGCCTAAGACTCAACTAGTTTAAAAAAAAAAAAAAAAAAAACAGCTGTTTCTAGCTTTTTGTGTCTTCCATTTGAGCTCAGGGATTAAAGTATAATCAGTATTGTCAGAAGATGACCCTCAAAGTACGGTTTCAAAAGTAAACCATCTTCCTCAACAACGGCAGTTCACTGAGGTCAAGTGAGATAAGCCAAGTTATCTCTGAGTCTAGATCCTTGTCTCCCAGCAAAATGCCAAGGACGTGCCAGAGACCAGCATCATGATGATGTGACAGCGGCCAGGCACTGCCCCCCGCCCCACAGATACCTCTGCAGCAAAAAGCTGGTGTTAAAACTCGGCTGGGGCTCCAGGAGAAATGCCGGCAATTCACACAGAACCGGACAGTCAAAAAGTACTGCTCTTGCAAAGTGCATTTTGTTTTTCTCATTTGCTTTTGTTTGTCTGTCTGCCTGTCCCTGTTTTTACTCAGGAGTAATTTGGCAACTGTGTATGTGAAAACCTGTTTTGTATCCCACTATGGAAAGAACCAGACAGAGGAGGGCTCACAATTTACCACACAGTAAATTCCAGACCACTGTGAACCTTCTATGAACTTTGTTTTTTTCCCCTTCTATGAACTCTTGATTCATATTTTGTTGTGGTTGTTGTTACCTAAGGTGGTCAGTTTTACTGACCACCAGGATTTTGTCATAAGTTAAATTGAAAGTCATCAAGTACAAGCTCCTGGGTTTGATTCCTGATAACCATAAGAAAAGAAAAAGTCACACTTTAAGTTTGATACATGCTATACTAATCATGACTGTAGAATGTGTACGAAGAGATACAAAGTAGTCTGTGCTCGAAAACTTATATTGGAATTCAGAACCATCTTCATAAATATATATATAAAATTCCTGTGGTAATAAAGGGAACTGTCAGGTTTTTCTGAGACAGTTTCCAAAGTGATTCAAAGCGTGAAATGCACACCACAACGTGAACACCCACATTCCAGATTTTGCACCTGTGATACAGCGTATCAGAGAGCAGACTTCATGACTGCAAGGAAGCTTAATACATTGAATGAGATTCTGCTTCTTAGGTGAAAAAGTGCAGACCTATAAACATCATGCAGATAATTCCTCTAAAATATGGAGGATACAAATACCTGCACTTTAAAAATAAAAACAAACAGCAAAAAGCACTTTTTTCTTGGGGCCCGCTCTAGAAAAATTGTTTTATCAAAATGTAAAAAGAATTTGCCATGCAAACAGAAATCCACATTAACCTAAGGGAGCGGAAGCATAGTGGAAATTCCTTTTACCCTGGGAAGCATGAGCTTTTAGCAAGAAAGGACTCAGAAGTCGGGTGTGGTGGCTCACATCTGTAACCACAGTACGCAGGAGGCTGAGGCAGGAGGATTGTTGTGTGTTTGAGACTAGCCTGGGTTACAGAGTGAGCTTGAGGCCAGCCTGAACTGCACAGCAAAACCCTGTCTCAAAAACACAAAAAGAAAGAGAAGGGAGAAGTGACACTAGTGATGTCACAGTTCTTTATTTCCCATTGGGTGGTGGCCACAGCTAACCTGGGAGATAATTTTGCCTTGCCTCCCAGGAACCACAGTGGAGGGCAGGGACTCCTGGTGTGAGCACAGGCTCTGGCCAGGGCTGGAGTCAGAGGCCAGCACTGCTCCCCGCCGCAGCTGAACGCCTGCCATCCCTAACGTGCGCCACACTGCTCTCGGTCCTGTGTGAGAAGAAAGCCATGCTTTGTCACACTGCTACATGATTCCCACCCTGCACTTGACACAGTACTCTCCTTCCTCGTTTCTGCTCACATGTGAAATAGGGAAAATCAACCCCACACTCTCCCTACTCCTTATAGTTGTTAAACAGATGTGACAGTGCTTCAATGCTTTAAAAAATATTTTTATGAACTTTGGTTTTGGTTTTTTGAGATCAGGTCTTCAATACATAGTCCAGCCTGGCTTTCAGTTCATGATGACCAAGATGACCTCACACTTGGGATCTTCCTGTCTCAGCTTCCTGAGGTATTTCACTTTGCTCTGTTTAAACCAATTTGATTTTAGCCCAAACCCTAAAATTATATATAATTTTTTCTCTCTAAAATTATATGTATTTTTTTGAGAGAGAGCTTTATTACGCAGTTTAGGCTGGTCTCAAACTCACAGGGATCCCCCTGCCTCAGCCTCCCCAACTGGGATTACAGGCATGTGCCACCACAGGTGGCCTGAAATTATATTTGTTTTTTGTTTTGTTTTGTTTTTTTTGGTGGTACCGGAGATTGAACTCACAACCTCGTACTTGCCAGGCAGGCACTTATGCTGCTGAGCTAAATCCCCAGCCCCTGTGAAATTATATTTGTTATTGATATCTGGTCAGAGACTTTTGGGCCTGGGGTTTGGATCCTGACTCCCATCTCCGGTGAGCTTGAGTGCTACTTGTGGGAGAAGCTGCTGGTCCCTCATATCTTTAACCTAAAAGGATAACTTCTCTAACGGATGGTGAAACTAGCGTAGGGAAGAACACCTAGTGAACGGAGAACCCCCTGGGATGTTGAATATTTGTGAACTAATTACAAAAGACCCCCAGCATGCAGCACAAACCCTGACGTGGTAATAAACGTGCCCCAATCTGACACCCATTTGACTGAGATTGTAGGGGTGATCCAGCTCAGACTCACCCAGCCTGCTAGAATACAATGGAGTCCATTGACCTTTCAGGTCTTTTTGTTTGCTGACACCAGGTCTTACTATGTTGCCCAGGCTGTTCTCAAAGTCTCAACCCTCCTGCCTCAGCCTCTGGCCCAGCTGGGATTGCACAGTCCCCAGCACGCCCAGAGACCTGGCAGCTGAATTCCGAAGGGGAGCTAAACACAGCCCCTTTATTCATAAATGCTTACTCAGAAAGAAACCAAATGCCTGTCAGGGAGCATTGAGACTTACCGTTTACAGCCATACAGTGGTGAATGGCACAGTGCACCAGTTTGCTGACTAAAATGTATGCGTTCCCTGTGACTACTTTTCTGTCTCTGGGAACCGAGTCAAAATTCAGGCCTTAGTCCCCCAATGAAGAAGCGCAGTGGAAGCAGATGGGACTGGATCTGTCCATCTACCCTAGCTGCTGGCTGCTCAGGACCTCTGTGCTGCTCCTGGAGGCAGCCACTCTGGCTGCTGGAGGCTGTGTGTGTACCTGAAGTGCTCAGGTATAGCCAGTAGAGTTATCTGCACACTGGTATCCATTTTCTGGATACCAACTTTTTTTTTTGTAGTGGGAATTGAACTCAGGACCTTGCACTCACCAGGAAGGTGCTTTTGCACTGAGATATAGTCCCAGCCTGGATACCAAATTCTTGGTGAGGTGGTCTGCAGTTCCCCTTTTGACCACTCATTAAATATGACTAATACGATCACCCTTGTTAAAGGTTAGTTCCTAGAGATAGTACTAGTGTTTGTGTGTGTGTGTGTGTGTGTGTGTGTGTGTGTGTCTTTTTTTCTTTTGCATTGAGGGGTTTACTTTTTATTTTTGAGAAAAGGTCTCACCATGCTGTGTAGCTCAGGCTGGTTTTGAACTTGTAATTCTCTGCCGTCAGAGTGCTGGGATTATGGGTGTGTGCCACCATGGTAACTTCTGAGGAACGTTCACATAGCAAATGAACAGTGAACCGTGTGTTTGTTACCTGCCAAAAGAACTTAGAAATAGTATGTGTCTTTTGTCTCTGTCTTTCCTTGTTTCTTTCTTTCTTTTCTTTTCCTTTCGAGCTGGGAGTCTCACTCTGTAGTTCAGGCTGACCTTGAACTCACTATGTAGCACAGGGATTTACAAGCATGTGCCACCAGGCCCAGCTCTTTATTTTCTTTGTTTCGTGACCATCAGTAAATCTTGGACATTGCCCCACCACCTGGTGGTGTCATTTGCTAAAGGAAATAACTTCTCTCAGAGTGTCCAGTGACAGTGAAAGGAGCTGGAAAGGTGAAAAGGTGTGTTGGAGACTGTCCAGGGCCCTGGGCGTGATGGTGAAAGCCGGTAAACCAAGCCCTGCATGGGCTGAGGCAGGAAGAGCCTGAGTTCGAGGCCAGCCTGGGCTACACACTGAGCTCAAGGCCAGCCTGAACTGCACAGTGAGATACTATCTCCAAAAGCAATGCAAAGCAAAGCTGTCAAGTGGGAAACACACACGAAGGATCATTATAATAAGAAACCGTCCCTTCCAGAGAACAGTCACTCAGAAAATGTCATGTGCATGAATTACTGGTTTCTAAATTCAAACCATAACAAATCCTTGTAGCCACAAGGAGACAAGAAATTGAAACCTGGGTAAAGAAGCTAATAATTTGGCCTTTGTGGTCGAGGTGTACAAACTAATTTCCACAGAGGACTTGAGGGCATTTCGAGTGTCTCTACGGTAAGTCCCGAGCTGGTCACTTGTCCAGCGGTCCAGCCGCCGCCGGGGTTTCTTACCGAGGTGGGAGGCTGAGCTTGCCCCCTCGCCTCCGCCCGAGTGCCAGGGATCGTGAGATACAGGTTCGGGGACATCAGAATGATACACCTGCTCTCCAGTCCTGCGGGACTCCCAGGACTCTCCTGGTCAGAGTGAGCGGCAGGTGACAGCGCCTACGGGGCCCTGGATCCCGCGGACCCGCGGGAAAGCAGCGGGGCTGGGGCTGGGGCGGGGCGGGCAGGCGGGGCCGGCTGTGTGCGCAGCGCGCTCCTCGCCGCGGTCCGGACCATGTCGCTGCGCAGAGCGGTCACCAAGACCCTGGCGCTGCCGCTGCGGGCGCCCCCCAGCCCCGCACCGCTCGGCAGGGAGGGTGAGTGCGCCCGGGGCGGGTAGGGGCCGAAAGGACACCCCAGAGTTCGGCGGGGGGGGGGTCTGAATGTAGACCAGGCTGTCCGGGTGTGCGTCCCAATGTCTTTGTCCCCTCAGTGGGGACCGTAATGGATGTGAGTTTCCATGAGTTAGTTTGTGGTTAAGAACTTTGAGGGCCAGGCGAGGTGGCGCACGTTTGTCATCCCAGCACTCTGGGAGGCTGAGGCAGGAGGGTCGCAAGTTTGAGCCTGGGTTGGGCAAATTAGCGAGACCTGCCTGAAAACTAAAGATGAAATGAGGGTTGGGGTGTAACTCCCCGAGAAGGCCCTGGCTTAATCCCCAGTACTAATTTTAAAAATACGAGAAGCGCACCTAGAAAGCACCTGCCTGGCATCCTCGCAGCTCCGGGGCTGGCGTCTCCCCGGCTCCGCGAGGGCCCGGGTCTCGGGGCGCAGCGGAGGGAGCGCCCCGGCCGCTTTCTTTCGCTCCCTCCCTTCCCTCCCAATGCCGCCCTTCCGCGGGCCGCCCGGCCTCACCGCCTGCCAGTGTGTTCCTTTGTTTTGACTGCACAAGTTTCCCGTGCTTCTCTCCTCAAGTTGGAGTAAAATAAAAACAGTTTTAAATTCTAAATGAGCATTTAGCCACGCCGATTGTAAGTACTGATCCTTCTCTAATTCACATCAAATTACTGCCTTTCGGCACCGGTTTATGTATTTTAAGAGCTGTCGTTGCTTGGAAACTTAAATTTGCCATCATTTGTGCGCATTGCTTTTCTTGTATTAGTACTTGTCCTTGGGAAAAAAATGTTTGTTTTTTTTTTTTGAAAGATAAAAGTCTATCTTATCAAATTTTGTCCTTTCCCTTTTTTCTTTTAAGAATGTAACTTCTGTCAGGCGTTTTGGGGCATGTCTGTGATCTCGGCACTGGGGAGGCTGAGGCAGGAGGATCGCTGTGAGTTTGAGGCCATCCTGAACTACATAGCGAACCCGTGTCTCCAAAACACACACACACACAAAAAGATGGAAGCTTATTCGTGAATAAATCCTTTGAGTTTCTAATAGTTCAGTAGGAAAAGACCAGAAAGGCAAAATAAAAAATACAAGTCAGCTGTAAACTTACTGCTCAGCGAACAGTAAGTTCTGCTCTTTATTTAGTTTATTTAGTTTTCCACTTTCCTTTCTGCTGTGTGCATTGCTTCCGTGGTCCCACACACAGAGACTCTACTGTGTCAGTCCATATGCTAGAAATATTTTCTCATATAAATGAATATTCTTCCACAAAACCACGATGTCTGTTTCACGGTGTGTAAAATTTATGTAACTAATTAAGCTTTATTGGCTATTTCCCATTGCATTGCTATTTTAAATAACACGGACCAAAATTATATTTAAATCTACTTAAATCCCTGATGATTTTCTTTATGTTTGTAAAAAAAATCTTGAGGGCTGAGGATTTAGCTCAGCAGCAAAGCTTACCTGCCTGGCAAGCACAAGATCATGAGTTCGATTCCCAGTACCCAAAAAAATCTTTTTGAGGGTTTAGGGTATAAATTCTGGTTTTGAATTCTAGCACTAAAAAAGAAAAAAAACCCCAAAATTTTGATACTTCTTGTCTGCTTGTGAAATATGCAAGCTATATTCCCTGTTTGATCACAGGGTTTTTTGTTTGTTTGTTTTTTTCATTTTATGAGTTAAGGTCTTGGCTGGGGATATAGCTCAATGGCACAGCACCTGCCTAGCAAGTATGAGATTGTGAGTTTGATCCCTGATACAAAAAAAAAAGCCTTGTTCTGCTGGCTCCAGGTTGGCCCCAGGCTTCTGGGTCAGGCCTTCCTCCTGCCTCCACTTTGCAAGCTGAGGCATATGATTAATCCCAGATGGACTTTTAAGCCAACAAAAGTCTCACAAATCAAACCTGTATCATAACTTCTTAAGACACATTTGTAGAGATTTTTTTCCACCTAAGAGATGGCAGTTTACCATCAAGCTGAGAACATAAACAGAAAGTCTTTGTGATTTTGCTGCTGGGAAACCTTCAGTGGGCCCTGTAAACACTGCCCCCTCGCTGCCCCCTTGGCCACCCTCCCTCCACGAGGGCCGTGGGTCTCTTCCGCTTTAACAGCTACCTTGAATCAACGAGCTGCGTCTCCTGGGCATTTTCATCTGTATGGCAGCTGCTTCTCTTTGCACAGTCCCGCCTGGACTGTGCACTGTAATCGCCTTTAAGGATCGAGATGGGCTCTGTCTGGCTCACAGGTGCTCCCTCATTCTGCTACACACAGTAGGTGCACTCTTGTGTTGGTTGCATGAACCCGTAAGTATCCTATTTCTTTATGGGTTAGGGGATTGGTAGTTTTTTAAAAAAAATTGGTGCTTTTTGTTATTGATATTGTTTTGAAACAAAATCTTGTTATGTAGCTCAGGCTGACCTACCTTAAAATCACTATAAAGCCCTAGCTGGCCTCAAACCCACAGCCATCCTCCTGCCTCAGCCTCTTGAGTGTTGGGGTCACCAGAATGCACCATTGACACCTATCAGTTTTTATTTTTAAAATAAAGAATTTGAGGGGGCTGGAGATTTAGCTCAGCGGCATAAGCACCTGCCTTGCAAGCAGGCAGTCGCGAGTTTGATCCCCGGTACCGATAAAAAAAAAAGAAAGAAAGAAAAAGACAAAAAAAAAAGAATTTGAGCTATATGTGTTTGTTTGGTTTGGGGGGGGTATTGTAGTACTAGGGATTGAACTCAAGGTCTTGTACATGTTAGGTAAGTGCCCTAAGCAGTGAGCCTCATCCCCAGTCTTGAACTATATATATAAAGTTTACTTTTTCTATCTTTTAGTGTATGGTAGGGGAGCCCAAACAGTGAGAGCATTGCTTCTGCTCCTCCGCACCCCATTTGGCTGTCACAACGGGTCAGTGCTTTTGCATCTTCGCTTGGCCCGCACCTATGCCGCTGGCGGTGACAGGCGATGACAAGCCCCATTAGCACTGCATTGTCAGCCTGCGCACAGGTCAAGTGGAATTATTACCCTGCCTGCCACCCTGAATTCCCTTCAGCTAAAATCATCCAAGTTGGGAGGTTTCGGAGTCCAGAAGAGAAATGTTTTTTTTTTTTTTAATTTGATAAATGGTTTTTAAAGATGTAATTATCTGAGTGGTGGAGCTAACTGTCCTAAAACTTGTTCTCCTAGTGCCTCTTCGTTGGATGTCAGCTAACAAAGTCCCCGGACCATCTGGGGCCAATATGATCTACTACCTGGTAGTGGGAGTCACCGTCAGCGCCGGTGGATATTATGTGAGTGACTGGATAACCTCAGTGCTCTGGAGGATCTTTTATAACCTGTGGTAAAACTCAGAGTAGTATTAAGATGAGGGCATAAGCACGGGATGCGGTGGTGCACATCTGTAATCCCACCAGTTGGGAGGCTGAGACAGGAGGAACTCTGGGAGTTTGAGGCCAGCCTGGGCTACGTAGTGAGTTTAAGACCAGCCTGAACTACACAGTGAGACCCTGTCTCAAAAAAAAAGATTAGGGCATAAAATAATTAATGAAGTGCACAACATAGGAATGAAAGTGTCATTAAGCATACATATTTGAGAAGTATCTTTGTAGTGATTAGAGCTATGACTTTTTCATAAGACTATGAAAAATAGTCTTATGAAAATATGAAATTCTGAAGATTTTATAAGTATAAAAGCAGCATTTCTTAATACTGCTGATATGGATGACTTTCAATAAAGATATTATTATTATTGAGTAGTAGCTGACATTTGAAAATCTGTCACTTGCCAGACTCATGAATCATTTAATCATTGCAGCAGTTCTAAAAGGTAGGTAGGATAATTCATAAGAACTGTTTTTGGAAGACTTACTAATTTTATTTTATTTATTTATTTTCATTTTATTTTATTTTTGAGACAGAGTCTCGCTATGCAGTTCAGGCTGGCCTTGAGCTCACTTTGTAGCCCAGGCTGGCCTCAAACTCGAAATGATCCTCCTGCCTCAGCCTCCTGAGTGCTGGAATGACAGGTCTGCACCAGAACCCGGCATCTTGTTTTCCAAACAACCTTTGGACCGGTCATATTGTTGCTTTTTATGACCGATCTTCACTCACCTAAGAAATCTTCATGAGGCTCTAGCAATATGCCATCCATGAAAGATTTCTGTAAGCTTTTTATTGTGAGATCATCGAGATCACATGCAGGCCTTCATCTCCTCAAATGACAGAATCTTCTGTAACTAATACAATGGCATAGCCAGAAACTGGCATTGGTGCAGCTCATCGCCTCACTGACTCCCCTAGTTTCACATCTCATTTGCATAAATGTTTATATTTCATTCCTTGCAGTTTTCTGGAGGCTGAGCTCAGGTACAAGTATCTGCCCCTCCCCACCCCATCAAAGATAGGGGACCGCTTCATCTCCACAGCCATCCTTTGTGCTGCCCTTTTATTTTTTCTTAAATTGATTTCTGAATTAATTTGATTTTTATTTATTAGTGCATATTTGTGGTAATGAGTGTGCTGGCCTTCTATAATTGCACCCACTTTCCTCACGTCCTCCCTTTCTTTTCTCCTAACCCCTGGCAACCCTGTTGTCTATTTCTGTATTTTTGTCATTTCAAGAGCATTACAGAAGGGGAAGCACAGGTTTGTAACCTTTTGGACTGAGCCTTTTTTATTCAGCATAATTACTGGAGTTGCACTCAAATTTGTGCCTGTATCTACTGCTCTTTTCTTTTCACTGCTGGAAGGATTTCACCTCACCCATGGCGAGGTGAAACAGCTGGTTTACCACTCATCAACTGTAGACCATTCATTGTAATACAGTTGGTTTACCATGCATCCCTGGAGGACCATCTGTGCTGATTCTAGTTATTTGGTTATCACAAGGGAAGCTACTTGCCTGACAAGCATAAGGTCATGAGTTCAATCTCTGATACAAGAAAAAAAAATGAAGCTACCATGGAATTTTGTGTGCAGGTTTTTGTATGGTCTTGGATTTGCATTTCTCTAGGATAAATGCTAAATGATATTTGTAAATGTCTGTCAAGATTTCTTTTTCTTTCTTTCTTTTTTTTTTTTTTTTTTTTGTGGCATTGGCAATTGAATGCAAGACCTTGTGCTTGCCAGGCAGGCGCTGTACCACTGAGCTACATCCTCAGCCAGGATATTTTGATTCTAGCTAAATTTATTTTTTTCTATCATCCTTTTAATTTATAAATCCATGTTTTCAGTTGCCTTTGATGCTTTAAAAAAAATTTTTTTTTAAATTTTTGAGACAGAATCCCCTTACGCAGTTCAGGCTGGTCTTGAGCTCACTTTGTAGCCCAGGCTGGTTTTGAATTTGAAACAATCCTCCTGCCTCAGCCTCCCAAGTGCTGGGATTATAGGTGTGCAGTATTATGCCAGGCTCTAATTTTTTTTGTTGTTTGTAACTGATGCGTATTTGAACATGTTGCTCTCCTTTTTTAAGCACACTACTTAATGGTAAAAGTTTCCAAAGAGAAGTAAAAAGTAAATGTTGTGCATTGATTTCTATCCTTTGCCACACTGGAGTTACAATTTAAACTCGCAGTGGTGAATATCTGGGCAATTGTATATAACTGTGAACTTGTAGTGATGAAATTTAGCTGAAGAAATAAAGCTGTTTTCACTTGTGGGCTTTTTCAGACATACAAGGCAGTCACATCAGAGCAAGCCAAGCACACAGAACATGTGACGCATTTTAAAGAAAAAACAAAAGCGGAGTTACAGCCACTTCAAGGTAAAGTAAGCTTCTTGATTATTTGATGATATTTCATTTTTGAGGCACTGACTCCCACTGTGTTAGTCTAGCAGTGAGCATGATCTGCTTTCGCCTGCATAGCTCACATAATCCAGAGGCACTCTGGGTCCGACTTCACTGGGGAGGAAAAGGCCAAGCAAACCCTGAGACCCAGCGCATTTGATAGTTGAGTGCATTTTACTTTCATCCTGCTGACCAGTGGCTTTGACTTCTTTGTATGCAAACGATTGTTCTTCCCCTGCTCAGACATCTATTCATGCAGGCATAATTTTAGTAACTGTCTCTTTCAGCAGCTCGGCCTTTTATTTTTCTTATTATTTTTTTAATTGTAAAACTAATTTTTGCATCTGTTTTGGCTAAGACTATCCTACATCTTTCCTCAAGAGTCATGCAGTCCTGTGGTGCGAGTTCCTCAGTTGATTAAAATGGCAACCATGGGAACAGAAATTACACAGTCACAGTAATGCCTGTTTCTTTTCTTTTTTTTTTTTTTTTTTTTTGCGTTTTCCTTTTTATCGGTACCGGGGATCGAACTCACAACTGCCTGCTTTACAAGGCAGGTGCTTATGCCGCTGAGCTAAATCCCCAGCTCCTGTGCCTTTCTTTTTAAAACCATTTACTTTACTGTAATCCCAGCACTTGGGAGGCCGAGGCCAGAGGTTCTCCATGAGTCTGAGGTCAGCCTGGACTACATAGTGAAACCTTGTCTCAATAAATAAAGTATTGAATATGTTCATAAGGTGGCTGTTTAAAACGCCGAGCACTTTGCTGCTTTCAAGGCCGGTACATGGTATTTCAGTCTACCTCCACGGTAGCCCAGTGAGGCAGGTATGGACCATGTCCCTTTTCATAGATGACAAAACCAAGGCTGGCAGAGGACTAGTGACTTCCTGAGCGCCATCAGGGGGTAACCTGGCTCCTCTTCCATGCTGACTCACGTGGAAGGTTGGTTAAGCTGGCCTTTTCTACTGTCTTTGTATTTAAGCCATGGAAATCAAATCAAAACAAAAACCTTTTTTTAAATTCCAAAAAGTTAGCAGGGAAGCCGGTCTCCCGCTTCCCTCCCGGAGCGCTTGCCCCATCCCCGCGCGGCCTCCGTCGCCCCCTGCGGGCGCAGCGCCGCCCGCGGCTTTGCGCTTCCAGCCGGGGAAGCGCCCTCCTCGCGTCCGTCCGCACGCGGGGGTCTGGGCGGCTTCGGGCGGGCCGCGCGGGGCTCACCGTGTCCCCGTGCCGTCTTCCAGGTGACGGCGGCGGCGCTGCGGGCCCGGAGCTGCCGGGGCTCCCGGAGGTCCCCGAGGTCCGCGGCGAGGAGGCCGCGGCGGGCGCTGCTGCAGACCCGGGTGCTGCGGCCGGGCTTCCCGAAGCGGCTCCGGCCCCGCCCGACGGAGAGGAGGCTGCCGCGGCGGAGACCGAGCCAGGGGACGCCGAGGCGGCGACCGGCGAGACCGCGGGGGGCCGCCCGGAACCCAGCCCGGAGGCCCCAGACGCCGCCCCGGGCCCGCAGGGCGCCGCGCAGAGCCCGGGCTGCGCCGAGCCGGGAGAACCCGCCGGGGGCCCCGAAGCCCCTGCCGGGCCGGAGCCACAACCGGAGGCTGAGCTGGGTGCAGGGCCCGAGGCCGCCCCCGCTCAGGGCTGAGCTCCTGCCAGTTGAGTGAATGTGCCAGGGGCTGTCTGATAGCTGCTTTGGTATTTTTAGTGACCTTAGTTTTTAAAAACTTCTTTCTAGAAAACTTCAATGTTAAAAAAAAAAAAAAAGAAAGAAAGAAAAAAGAAAACTTCAATGTCCTCAGTATGCACGAATTGGTTTTTGGATTGAGAGATTTGAGAATTTTACATGTTTTAATTTTCTACTTGCTAAATTCAGACTCTGATGTTGCTTTACGGAGTTCAAATAATTTTACCCTTGAATTGAGATTGTCGTCGGAATGATTTTTTTCACCTGTATGTACTTTAATTTTGCATAGTCTCTATTGTATGTAGATCTAGATTACTGAGTTTGACCTCAACTCACTAAATAAAGTTAGGAAATCATTAGTATTTCTGGATTTAAATTTATTTTTAAATTTTTCTTTATTCATGTGTGTAAAGTAGTGGGATTGAACCCAAGGGCTTCCTATCTGACCTGTCTTCTCAGTACTTTCTTTTTTTATAGGTAATTTTAAAAATCCATTTTATTCAAACATAAAAATAAATAAAGAAAAACTACAACAAAATTTTAAAGTACATCAATCGGGGTAACAATGGTACATGCATTGCACATTATCATCCCCAAATCATTCACCAAGGCACAAGACTTCAGCTGTCCAAACAATACCAGCACAAGATTTTCTCTTCAGCAAACTCAGAGATCAGTAGTATAGCTATCTTAACTATTTTTATATACATATACATTTTTTCATTTTGTCACACTAATGAAACAATACTGTTTACACACGTGTCTTATTTATTTCACTAATGAGTGTGTTCTCAAGTCACATCCATTTTCCTATAAGTGTCCAGTTTATCATTCTTTATGGCTGAGTAGTAGTCCACTCTATAAAAATACCACACCTTTTTTTTATCCATTCCTCAGTCAATGGGCTTTTAGGTTGTTTCCTAAATCTGGCAGTTATAAACTGTGTTGCTATAGACATGCACATATATCACTGTGGTATGATGTTTTTAATTCTTTTGGGAAGATACAAAAAAGGAGACTAGTAGGGTCAAATGGTACCTCCAATCCATTTTTTGAGGAATCTCCACATTGGTTGCACTAGTCTGCATTCCCACCAGCAGTGGAGGAAGGCTCCTTTTCCCCACGGCCCCTCCAGCATTTATTATTGCTTGATTTCTTGATAATAGCCATTCTTTCCAGGGTGAGGTAGAATCTCAGTGTTGTTTTAATTTGCATCTCTTAAATGACCAGTGATATTGAACATTTTTTCATGTATTTGTTGTTTGTATTTCTTCATCTGTGAAATGTGTATTTATCTCAGAAGCCCATTTTTGAATTGGTCTTTAAATCTGGGAGGACTGATATTTTTGAGTTCTTTATATGTTATCAATAGTAACCCTTTGTCTGAGGTACAGCTGGCAAACTTTTTCTCCCACATTGTGGGTTGTCTCTTTACTCTGTTGGTGGTTTCCCTTGCAGTGCAAAAGCTTTTCAGTAGGATGAGATCCCATTTGTTGATTCTTTGTGATAGTTCCTGTGCAATCTGGGTTTTGTTCATAAAATCTTTGCCTACACCAATGTCTTCAAGAATTTTATCTACTCTATCTTCCAGCAGATTTAATGTTTCTGTTTTAATATTAAGATCTTTGATCCACTTTTTAGTTTAGCATATGGTGAAAGAGATGGGTCCAGTTTTAATCTTCAGCACATATAGAGCCAGTTTTTCCACCACCATTTATTAAAGAAGCTATCTTTCTTCCAGTGAACATGTTTGGCCCCTTTGTCAAAGATAGGGTGACTTAGTGTGTCTGGAGTTGTTTCTAGATCTTCTAATCTGTTCCAGTGATCTTTGGTCTTTGGGTCTGGTTTTTTTTTGGCCAGTACCACACTGTTTTTATCACACTAGCTTTGTAGTATAATTTCAAGTCAAAGATTATGATGCCCCTGTCTTGTCTTTGTTGCCCAAGATTGCCTTTGCTATTCTAGGTCTCTTCTGGTTCCAGATAAATTTTTGGATTGTTTTCTCTAATTCTGTGAGATATGCTATTGGAATTTTGATTGAAATTGCATTCAGTCTGTGGGAGTATGGTCATTTCACTATATAGGTTCTTCCTACCCAAAAGCACAGGATATATTTCCATTTTCTAATATTCTCTTCAATCTCCTTTTTCAGAGTAATGTAGTTTTCAATGTAAAGGTCTTTTACATCCTTTGTTAGTTTGATTCCTGCTGTTTCATTTAGTTCTTTTTATTTTTATCTTGATACAGAGTCTCACTGAGGTGCCCAGGCTGATCTCAAACTTTCCATCCTCCTGCTTCAGCCTCCTGAGTAGCTGAAATTACAGACATGCATGGTGGAGCCAGGCTTACACTAACAGTCATGGGTATGATGTACTGATTACATTAGCATACATATAGCATCATGTGAGAACATAAGCTTTGGTAATATTATTGGAGGAAGGAAACATCTGTGGAGGAATCTGTATGGCAATCTATACATCCTGTCCTTGATTATATGACCTCAGGTTCAGTCCAAACCGCATTTGAGGATTTTTTTTTTTCCAAGAACAGTGTGATTTTGAAGGTTTTTTTTCCACTCATGGTAAACTGAGGCGAGATACATAAAAGGTGACAAGTGCCTGGCTCGATGCCCTGGCTTTGAGAGGTCTGGAGTGACAGCAACTCTATACACCCAGTCCCCACTTGGGTCCAGGATGGGACCTCCTGTGTTTAGCTTTGAGGGTGACACCAGGGGCTTCACACATGTGTGGCACTCGCTGCCCCACTCCTGCAGCCCTACCCCAGCCCCCATGGGCGCATTTCCTTTGCTGTGCTGTCATCTGCATTGGCTTGGGAAATCTGCGGCCTGCAGCTGGCTTTCTGGGACACTGCGGCACCGGACACTGTCTGGGGGCGACCCCGCTGCCCAGGGTGCTGCAGACCTGCGCTGTGTTGTGGTTTTGCTGTAATTGCTTGGTGAATCTCCACAATGATAGGTATTTGTTCAACCTCGGAAAAGATACTTATTTCCTCATCTAAAAAACAAGCAAACAGAAATAACAAACCAAGGCCAGGTTGGTGACTCACACATGAAATCCCAGCACTCAGGAGGTTGACTCAGGAGGTTTACTGTGAGTTCAAGGCCAGCCTGAGCTACACAGCGAGACCCTGTCTCAAAAGAAAATAAATTAATTAATAATAATAAAGAATAAAATCAACCTTAAATATGCTTGTATTTTTTAATGTTTTATTTTAGAAATTTTCAAACAAAAGCAGAATGAATGAATCTTCAAGGGTCCTACTCAGAGGATGAGCTCAGGATAGATTTTTGCTTCCCCTCTCCCCTGGAACTCTCTCCCACCACTGAGGCCACCTGCAGAGCTACCTGCCCAGAGGGGCCGGGCTCTCCAGTGTGTGAAACACGCAAGTGTAAAATGATTTGTTAGTATTTTTTTTTTAATTTAAAGAGAAAAAAGAAAGGACATTAAAAAAACAAAGCAGTAAAAGAGTACAAGTAATATAGAATTTCAAGAAAAAAATATACAGTAAGAAATCACTAGTTAATAGGTTACATATTGTCTTCTTAGAAACAGTTGTCCAAATTATAAAATTAAATCATATAAAGTGGACATTCATACAGTGAAATTGGAGACAGTTCCGTTCAGTGATCCAACAAAAGCTCAGTAATATGGTTTTCCATCCTACACACTCAAACATACATGCAGTTATATCCCTTAGTCCACCTTCCTTTCCTCTCTTTTTTACAATAACAATTACACTTTTTGGGTTTTATTACTCCCACAGTTCTTATTACTTTTTTTGAAGAGAATAAAACCAAACGTGACTAAGCAAAACAGTCAGAACAGAAGGATGGGCATAGTACATGATGCAAAAACAGAATACCAGGTGATCAAAAGTGGTTACCATTGTGCCTCTTGCTATTTTTAAATTGAGTTGCCTATATCATCAGGTATAATAGAATTGATCAAAACAGTACAGAACAAGACCAATAAAACCTACACTGGAGACCTTACAGGACTTCAAAAAAAGGTAATTGTCAAACCACAATGGGCATCAAAGTACATCTCATTGCCTTCAAAGTGGTTGCCTAACCCTCAAACTGGATACCGTCAAACACAATAGAATATAGAATAATCACACAGAACAAGATGGGAGAGCGATAGCTGCCGTTTGTTAGTACTACTGCCTCCTAGTCACTGCTCAAATGGCCTTAACTGCTTTGGAAGGAATTTTTTTCCTCCCCTCATTTTGTTTTTCAAATTGGATGCCAATTAAAGTCCACAGATTACAGCTGGTCAGGATACCTCCCCTCGCCTCACCTGAGATAATCATTACACGTATGCAAGTACTTCAAAATCCAAAAACCTCCAAAATATTTGGGGTCCCAAGCATTTCAGATAAAAGGATACTCAACCTGTACTACCCTTAATAACATAAATACCAAAAGCATTTAGAGATTTTTAAAATTACTGGGGGCTGGGGATTTAGCTCAGCGGCCTAAGCGCCTGCCTTGCAAGCAGGCAGTCAGTCGTGAGTTCGATCCCCGGTACCGATAAAAAGGAAAAAGACAAAAAAAAAAAAAAATTACTTTTAGGCTGGGGGTTTAGCTCAGTGGCATAAACACCTGCATGGCATGCACACGGTCCTGAGTTCGATCCCCAGTACAAATAAAAAGTTACTGTTAGTCTTTAGTGTATATAGTTAAACACATATCATAGACATACATAGCCAAATGACTGCAATTTAAAGTCAATTTAAATTGTTCTCTGCACAGTCACACTGCAACTCAAATCACAGTTCCTTTTTGCTTTCCAGGGACTATCCTCTAAACTATCTAACTAAGTGGGGTGTGGTGGTGCACCCCTATAATTCCAGCATAAGGGAGGCTGAAGCAGGAGGATTGCCCAGAGTTCAAGGACAGCCTGAGCTACATAGTGAAACTGCTTCTAAATACATATAAATAAGTAGCCTGTTACGGTTTGTGTCTGGATGTCCCTCCAAAGCCTCCATGCCATTTTAGATGGTATTTTTGGAAGTGGTTGAATCTAGAGTGTGTGACTGATTCATAGTGCAATGCTGGGATGAAGGGTGGGTGATGGCACACACCTGTATTCCCAGCCATCAGGAAGCAGAAGCAGGACTTTGAGGTCAGCCTGGGCTACATAAGTGAGTTCAAGACCAACCTGAATTACATGGCCAGACCCTGTCTCAAAAACAAAAACAAAAAAAACAGGGCCGGGGTTTAGCTCAGCAGCACAGCATCTGCCTGACAAGCTGGAGGTGCAGAGTTCGATTTCTGGTACCAGAAAAAAAAATTGAAAGAAGATTTAACACTGAATTTGATACACACTTTTGATTTCGT